TCAGGGTAACTGTAGCCTCATAAAAAAGAGTTTGGTAATGTTCCTTCTGTTTCTATTGTGTAGAACAATTTGAAGAGTTTTGGAATTAGCTCTTCCTTGAAAATCTGGTAGAATTCTGCACTGAAACCATCTGGTCCTGGGCTTTTTTTTGGTTGGGAGACTTTTAATGACTTTTTATTTCCTTAGGGGTTATTGATCTATTTAAATAGTTTATCTGGTCTTGATTTAACTTTGGTATATGGTATCTATCCAGAAAATTGTCCATTTCTTTCATATTTTCCAATTTTGTGGAGTACAGGTTTTTAAAGTATGATCTGATGATTCTCTGGATTTCCTCGTTGTTTGTTGTTATGTCTCCCTTTATTTCTGATTTTGTTAATTTGGGTGCTCTCTCTTTGTCTTTTGGTTAATTTAGATAGGGGTTTGTCTATCTTGTTGATTTTTTTTTTTTTTTTAAAGAACCAACTCTTTGTTTCATTGATTCTTTGTATTGTTTTCTTTGTTTCTATTTCATTGATTTCAGCCCTCAATTTGATTATTTCCTGGCATCTATTCCTCCTGGGTGAGTTTGTTTCTTTTTGTTCTAGAGCTTTCAGGTGTGCTGTTAAGTCATTGGTATGAGATTTCTCCAACTTCTTTATGTGTGCATTTAGTGCTATGAATTTTCCTCTTAGTACTGCTTTCATAGTGTCCCATAAGTTTCGGTATGTTGTACTTTCATTTTCATTGAATTCTAGGAAATCTTCAATTTCTTTATTTCTTCCTTGACCCATTAGTGATTCAGTTGGGCATTATTCAGTTTCCATGAGATTGTAGGCTTTCTATAGTTTTTGTTGTTGTTGAAATCTAACTTTAAGGCATGGTGGTCTGATAAGATATAAGAGGTTATTCCAATGTTTTTGTATCTCTTGAGATTTGCTTTGTGGCCGAGTATATGGTCAATTTTTGAGAAGGTTCTATGGGGTGCTGAGAAGAAGGTATATTCTTTTGTGTTAGGGTGGAATGTTGTGTAGATATCTATTAAGTCCATTTGAGTTATAACATCTGTTAGGTCCTTTATTTCTGTGTTAAGTTTCAGTCTGGTAGATCTGTCCTTTGGTGAGAGTGGTGTGTTGAAATCTCCCACTAGTGTGTGGGGTTTGATGTGCGATTTAAGCTTTAGTACTGTTTCTTTTATAAATGTGGGTGCCTTTGTATTTGGGGCATAAATGTTCAGAATTGAGACTTCATCTTGGTGGATTTTCTCCGTAATAAATATGTAATGTCCTTCCCAACCTCTTTCGATTGATTTTAGTTTGAAGTCTATTTTATTAGATATTAGGATAGCTACACCAGCTTGCTTCTTAAGTCCATTTGATTGGAAAGCCTTTTCCCAGCCCTTTACTCTGAGGTAGTGTCTTTCTTTGAAGTTGAGGTGTGTTTCTTGTATGCAGCCGAAGAATGGATCCTGTTTTCGTATCCCTTCTGTTAGCCTGTGTCTTGTCATAGGTGAGTTGAGACCATTGATATTGATGGAGATTAATGACCAGTGATTGTTAATTCCTGATATTTTTTGGTGGTAGTGTTGTGTTTCCCTTCTTTGGTATTTGTTGGTGTGGGATTATCTGTTGCCTGAGTTTTTTCATGGGTGTGTTTAATTTCCTTAGGTTGGATTTTTCCTTCTAGTGCTTTCTGTAGGGCTGGATTTGTGGATAGGTATTGTTTAAATCTGGTTTTGTCATGGAATATTTTGTTTACTCCATCTATGGTGATTGAGAGTTTTGCTGGGTAAAGTAGTCTGGGTTGGTATCCGTGGTCTCTTAGTGTCTGTATAACGTTTGTCCAGGACCTTCTAGCTTTCATAGTCTCTATTGAGAAGTCTAGTGTTATTCTGATGGGTCTGCCTTTATATGTTACTTGGCCTTTTTCCTTTGCGGCTCTTAATATTTTTTCTTTGTTCTGTATGTTTAGTGTTTTGATTATTATGTGGCAAGGGAACTTTTTTTTTTTTTAGATCCAGCCTATTTGGTGTTCTGTAAGCTTCTTGTATCTTCATAGGTTTTTCTCTATTGTGTCTTCAGTGTCAGAGATTCTCTGTTCCATCTCTTGCATTCGGTTGGTTATGCTTGCAACTGTAGTTCCTGATCGTTTAGTCAGATTTTCTATTTCAAGCATTCCCTCAGTTTATGTCTTCTTTATTGTCTCGATTTTAATTTTCAAATTTTGAACTGTTTCCTTCATCTGTTTAATTACTTTTTCTTGGCTTTCTTTGATTTCTTCCAATTTTTTTTTTTGTTTTTTTTCTTCCATTTCTTTAAGGGGATTTTTTTATTTTCTCTTTAAGAAAGTTTTTCATTTCCTCTTTAAAGTCATTTTTAGGATTGATTTCTTCTGCTTCTTCTGTGTTGGTATGTTCAGGTCTTGCAGGTGTAGAATCACTAGGTTCTGATGTTGTCATATAGGTCTTTATGTTGTTGCCTGTATTTTTCACTGGCATCTACTCATCTCTTCCTCCACTTGGTGTAGGCTGTGTCTGTGTCTGAAGGTGCCTCTCGTTCTAATTAATAGTCTTGGTCCACTAGGAGTTCTTGGTCGAATCGGTGCTGTTGGGCTCTGTTTCTCTGGTAACAGCTTCATCCAATCAGTGTTAGTGGGTTCTGTCTCAGGGAGCAGTTGTTCCTAATTGGTTCAGGGTGGTTGTTGGTATTGCATGGGATGGTTTTATTGGTGTTGGGGCAAGGAAAGAGGCCGCTGTTCAGTCCCTGAGGCTCCAGTGGCTGTTCCCCGTTGGTGTAGGGTGGCTTATGAGTCCGGTGGTTGTTGGGTTCGCAGGGGCTGGGTTTTTTTGGTGAGAGAGCAGGGTAAGTTAGCTGCCTGGTCCCTGGGGCTCAAATGGCTGGGGCCTAGGGGCTAGAGACCTGGTCTGCCGGTCCGGAGATGGGGCCTTACCTGTTCCCAGTTGGTGTAGGATAGGCTTATGACTCTGGTGATCTAGTTTGGTGGCTGGACAGCCTTCTCTTGCATTCTCAGGTTGCGTTTTGCTTGCTTGCCAACTCCTCAGCTGATCTTGTTTCCTCAGACTGCAGGCTGTAGGCTTCTGAAACCTCTCCCAAATGGATCTCAGTTGAACAGGTTGATCAGTAGAGCAATCTCACCAACACCTCCAAGTTGTTGGGCTTTGCAGGATGGGCAGCTGGGCCCCGGGTTGGCCTCGGGCAGAGTGTTCCACTCATTTCTAAATTTGAAATTACTGCAGCCTGAGCAGGGACAGGGGGTCTTTAGCATTGCAGTCCTGGCTTTGGAGTTTATCAGACTTTAAATCATGTTCCAGAGGAATAATTTACAAGCTTGAGATCTCTAAGCTTTTAAAATGTGCTCATTTAAAAAATGGATCCAGGGCTGGAGAGATGGCTCAGCGGTTGAAAGCACTGGCTGCTCCTCTAGGGGACCCAGGTTCAATTCCCAGCACCCACATGGCAGCCCACACCTGTCCACATGGATCCAGTTCCAGGGATCCATCGCGCCAGGCATGCATGTGGTGCCCGTATCTGCATGCAGGTGAAATATCCATACACATAAAATAAAATAAATAAATCTTAAAAAAAAAAAAAATGGATCCAATGATGTCTGGGTTTTTCTTTTGGGGGGAGGGAAGGGGGCACCTGAGAGAACAAGAGTTTATTAAGTGAAAATCTTCTGATGAGAAAAATCACTTTGTGACTGAAGCTCAAGGTGAGAGAAGACAGCCTTGACACAAATCTCTGGTTGAATTAGTTGCATGATTAATGAGCTTAGAGGTCCCCCCTGAGTAATTCAGAAGACCTTTATATGTGTTTTACCATGTTAATATATACTTTGGGACTTAATCAATTTAATTTTATATATAAGTAGTATGCGCACATGTTTGAATGGGGTTGGGGGAAGCTTGAGCATCCTACCACACATGTGGAGATCAGAGAACAGCTAGTGGAAATCAGTTCTCTTCTTCCACAGTGCGGATCCTGTGATAGATTTTGGGCCTCCAACTCAGGTATCAGGGTTTCTCTGTGTAGCCCTGGCTGTCCTGGAACTTGCTCTATAGATGAAACTGGCCTCGAACTCACAGAAATCTGCCTGCCTCTGTTTCCCAAATGCTGGGACTAAAGGTGTGCACTATCACTCATGACCACATTCTGTTTTTTACATGGGTGCTAGGGATCAAACTCAGGTCCTTATGCTTGTGTGGCAAGTACTTAACTGCAACCTAATTGATATTTATCCAATACCTGGTAAAGCCTAGATTATACAAGCTGAAGATTCAAGTAATTCACAGCCTAGGTTATTTCATGAACTAGTAAGTTTTCTAAATTCTCTATGATGTGTTAAGTGTAAGGAAGGCATGTTTTGAAGAGAAATGTTTAGTTTTTATTATGGCAAAGACTAGAAAACACTTGATTAAATAACCTACAAGATCATTAAGAAGGACTATGATTTTATGAGCAGATATCTTTTGATGTGAAACAAATATTTACATTGCCTGTACTCAACTCATTTATACCCAGTAGAAGTTTGAGGTGGTCCTAGTGTAGTGGGAGAGACCAGTTGTGTTTACTGTTCTAACCTTCCTCACTTGGAAAATGGAACAGGAAAGAATTTATAAAGATTGGAGCTTATGTCAATTGATATTTACCTATAGCTATCATTACTGCATTTCATAGAGTACCTTATTGGAATATGTTTCATATCAGACAGAATTTTGGTGGGGGAATGTATATGTTCCCTTCCTTGATTGCTGCAAGTACAGATAGTACACAGAAACCTTCCTTGGATTGAACTAGATTTTTAGATCTCATGGTTTGGCAAACAAGGAATGTCTTGTGGCTGGCAGTTTTGGTCACAAGTATTATTTTCAATATAGAAAGGTTGTGGTTTCCCAGTCTTCCCCACAGAACAGTTTTAAACTGCTTCTTATAAATGTTACGTTTTCTTTTATACCTTGAATCTACTGCCTGCTAACTTTTTTTTTTTTTTAAATGGGAAAGTGTTGACTCGGAGACAGAGAGAGGCCAAGAAGAAAAGTGACAGTAGAACAGCTGCCCAGACTGCCCTAGACACCAAGTAAGTAGTGCAGTGCTTTCATCGAATGCTTGTCTAGCACACCGTCACTTGGACTGAGGGAAGAGACTAGTTCCTGTCACCATGTATTCCTTTGGTTGCCTGTCCTTCCTTTATTGTTTGAAAGCCTAAATTTCTTTTTCTTATTAATAGTTTATTTCAGTGTACATCTCCCCTCTATTCCTTTTCAGTATATTAAAGATGATTCTGTTTCTGCATTGCTCTTAGGTTTCTGTTTTCTGTGAATTTATATATTGGTGTTTAGTGTTTTGGGGAAGCGGTGAACATTTTGCAATGTGGTATAGAAGTTGAGTTACAAGAGGTTGAGCAATATAGAAGACTTCCTTGGGATGTGGGTTGTAGCTTGACTAAGAGAGCACATTCTGAGGAAGGGGTCAGGTATAGATGCTGCCTCTTGAAAGCAAAGCCATTTCCAACAGTATGTTAGAATGGTGAGTTATTAGGCAGAAACTTTCATTTCCAGGGTTTTTTCTTCATTAAAACTTTGTTTCCATTAAGATATAGTTACATAATTTCCCCTCTTCTTTTCCATCTTCCAACCCCTCCCCCATGTTCCCCCCTCTCACTCCCTCTCAAATTCATGTCCTCTTTTCAATTATTGTTATGCATGCACACAGACACATACATACATATGTTGACACATAAATACAACCTGTTGAGTATGTTTAGTGTTGCTTGTATGTATATGACCACTGGTATTATATAACCAGTTAGGGGGCTCATCCCTGGGAGAGACTTAATTCTCCATCTCTCAGTAGTCATTAATTGACTGTAGTTCTTTGTGAGGTTCCCTCCTTCCACTTTCACATGTCTGTTGGTGGTGTCATTGTTGAGATATCATAGGTATAGCTTTTAGGAAACAGTCGCACAGCAGACTTCTTTCCTCTGGCTCTTTTTTTTTTTTTTTTTAAAGATTTATTTTATGTATATGAGAGCTCTATTTGCATGTATGCCTTTATGCCAGAAGAGGGCATCAAATTCTACTATAGATGGTTTTGAGCCACCATATGGTTGCTGGAACTTGAACTTAGTACCTCTGGAAGAGCAGCCAGTGCTCTTAACTGCTTAGTCATCTCTCCAGCCCTTCTCTGGCTCTTAAAATCTTTCTGTTCTGTCTTCCACGATGTTCCCTGAGCCTTAGGTTCAGGAATTGTATTGTAGATAAATCCTTTAGGGCTGTGCTTCCCACAATCAGTCATTCTCTGTATTTCCTCCCACCCCTTCAAGTACTAGGGATTGAATCCAGGACCTTGTATGTGCTAAGCAAGCAGTCAATCACCGAACTATGCCCTCAGCCCCTTTTCATTTTCTTTCTTATTTTTTCAAATAAAGATAAATAATATGTAACTAAGTCATGTGGCCAGCAGTAACAAAGTCAAAGTCTGCCTGATTTTAAATGTCCAGGTCTTTCTGTAGTGCTGTTGTCTCTCATAGATTAGGTTAATCCAATGGAACTGGGGTTTTAAGACCATAAATTTTAAATCATGACTGGGTTCAACCACACTTTATTAATCAAAATAGGAACCATTATAGTCAGTGTATTTTTGCCAATGAAAAGTGTTTGTTTATTTCGGGGTCTTCCTGTTGGCCAGTGCTGGCTTCAGGCATCACAGTTCTCAGTGCTGCATCTCATTAATTTGCTGGTCACAAATCACAGACATAATGGTGTCCCTGAATTCAGAAGCTTCAGTGTATCAGACCAACAGCAGACTGCCAGACAGTTATCCCTGACCTTGTTTTGGTATAAGTTTGGCTTTGGGAAGTGCTTTGGAGCTTCTTGGTCCAGCCACTGAACTGATCATCACTAGTTGTCAAGCACAATTCACTTTTTGTTGCATGTCATGATCTTAATAAGAAATGGTTTGTTATTCTGTAGAATAAGAGGGATGACAATTGAAAACAACTTAAATTTTCTTTTCTTTTTTTCGGTTCAGTCATGAGACACCCACTTATCAAACCTTTTCACCTTTCCAATTTGCCTCAAATACTTGAACAACTCGCATGGTTCACATTGAGCTCTTTGGCAACTTCTTGAGTCAAATAAAAGAATCAGCTTTAGTGAGTGCTCTTCGTTGCTCATTATCAACTTCCTGTGGCCAACCACTAAGCTCCTTCCCTTCCAGGCTCTTGAACCACCAAAACTATACTCTATCAGTTCCTGGGCCAAAGACCTATTGATGTTGCAAATTGCCTCAGCTGTTTTACCACCTAATTTTAGCCAAATAAGAAAACTGCTCAAATTTTTGTTTCACACCATTTCCATATTTTAAAATAAATATAAACAGCAAGTATTATGTCATTACCAAAAACCCATAAAGTAAAAAATGTGCATTAAAATGATGTGTATCATAACTATATTTATTTATGAGTATTTCATTATCAAATGACAAATTCAACAGTGCAGAAAACAAAATTACTTTTGTACTAATTTAATAGTAAGAATTAATAGTGCTTTTTGCATTAATTGATAAACTTTGAAGATACTAATCTAACTTTTCTCACAAGGTAGAGTTTTACTTGCATTCTTCCAAGTAATTGAGTAGTTTGAGATGTTATTTCTATTATTTTATTGTTCTTTAGAGAAAATCTTCCATAGATCTAATTTCTTGCCATAGTTACTGAGCAGTAATGGTCAGAAAAGGAAGTTTAAGATGAATTTATGAATCAGCTATGAGTTCTGATATTTATTAACTGTAACTACCTTGGGGAGAATAGTTATTTCCTAATGGGGCTGAAGAATTAATTGAGAAATATGTTGAAAGCTACTGACCACAGAGAAAGTAGTTAACAAGTATTCTTCACTAACTCCCACAGTTCTGTCTTCATTGATACCTCAAGAACACACCTTTCTCTGAACGATTTTGTTATAAAAAGATGACAGTAACTATGTTATGTGCAAAAACTTGTGGCAGAGCCGCATGTTTTAGTAACTTCCTAGTTGATGTGTCAGGTTATAGAATCAAGGAAGTTATCATATAGACAGACTTGATTTACTAACCAAACAGATTCATCAACTATGGTAAAACTCTCATTATTGACTTAATGCTTTTTGGTGCTCCCTTTTCTGTCGAAATTTTAACTTCTCTTTGAATAAATGATTACACTCAATTTCAGAAGCGTTTGACAGACTGTTTTATGTCTTAGGAGCAATCAGCATTGTTTGAGATATTTAGAAGAGCTGATTTCATTACCATCCCACTGCTGCAACAGCAGGGTACAGAGAAACAGCCAGGGAAAACTGCTAATCACTTAGTCCTTATGATTGGCATAGGGTTAATTTTATTGGTGATCCCACTGAGTGAATCTGCATTGGTTGACAAGTCTCCTTTGCAGACATTTTTGAGATGTAAAAAGACAATTTGAAACATTCCAAGAGCCCAGAGGCAAAAGCAGATCTTAAAACTGCCTTCCCTCTCATCTCCCACCCCTCTTCTGATTACCCAGGAAGGAGAAGTGTTATCTATGTAAGTCCCTGGTCCCGCTTGGAGAGTATCAGTGTCATGTAGAGGCCTGTCTCCAGCTTGCAAAGAGTGACGGTGGAGATGGAACCAAAGGGAGTAAGAGAACAAGAGTGTATGCAGCTGTGGAGGGCAAACAGCAGCAGCAGCCGAGGAAATCAAAGGTATGTGCCTTAAGAAGAGCTACAGTTCTGTTCTCCCTATCTTTCCTCTCTTCCCTCCGTCCCTCCTCCTCTCTTTCCTAGTTATCTTGATATAAGATTTATGCTTGTATAGGTGGGGGTTTGTGTGTATGTGTGCATGCATATATGTGCATTTATGTATGGAGGCCAGAGGTGAGATTTGCGTGTTATTCCCCAGGAGTCATCCACCAATTTTGAGACAGGATCTCTCACTGGACCTGGGGCTTACAGATTAAGGGTGCTGCCTGAAACCCCTCCACTCAGATCCAAGACTATGGCAGTTTTAATTGCTATGCAATTACAGTACATACAAAGTTTCTACTTTTATAAAAACATAATGGTTTAATTATGGAAAGCATAACTCTTATTTATTTATTTATTTTAATTTTACCATGCAGGTACCTATGTTTATGTCAGATGCCCAACTTATCGTTTGAGACAGGTCTCTCATTGAGCCTGGTGTTCACTGATTGGTTAGACTGTCTAGCCAGTTAGCTCTGGGAATCTGCCTTTATCTACTCCAACCCTCATGCTAGGGCCATAGCTGCCTGGGACCATGCCAGTTTTTTAAATTTGTGTTGGGACCCAAACTCAGGTCCTCATTTTTCACAGCAGTCATTTCTATGGCACCCCATTCCCAAATTAGTATATCTTTTGGTTGTATTTTGTAAGAAGGTTTGATTTTAAAAATTGCTATTTGAGTTACTAATGTGGGTTGCCTAAAAAATTCATAATGAATTTTGGCTTGGGATTAAGGCAGAAATTTCCAACAGTTTCTGAAATGGCCCTAAGCATATACCTGTCAATTTGTAGTATGTGTTTATGTAAAGCAGTGTTCTCAGCACTGATGATAATAAAATCAAAATATCAATCAACTCTGAGATGCATTGAACATGCTCTACATTTTGCAGTGTTAGATATTCAGCAGGATTTAATTTTTTTCTGATACAGGGTTTCTCTGTGTAAATTTGGAGCCTATCCTGGAACTTGCTCTATAGACCAGACTGGCCTTGAACTCACAGAGATCAACTTGCCTCTGTCTCCTGAGTGCTGGGATTAAAGGTGTGCGCCACCACTGCTGGGCCAGGATTTAATTTTTATGTAAAAATATACAAGTGTGGGCTGGAGTTTTGACTTAGAGGTAGAATGTTTGCACCTAGCATGAATGAAGCTCTGTACCCTATAATACTGAGCATGATGACAAAAGCACACTTAAAATTCTAGCACTTGGGAGGTAGAAACAGGAGGATCAGAAGTTCAAAGTCATTATCAGCTGTATAACAAGTTCAAGGCCAACTTGGGTAACATGAGACCTTGTCTCAAAAGCTAAAACATCAAAACTAAAACCATACCACAAGCACATCCAATTTGTTAGTATGCACATTTGCTTTTATCTTTAGTAAATGGTAAAATTATATATAGTCCAAAGAATTATCCTTAGATAATTTTCATTATGATTTATTATCAATAAATGTTTGATTTGTTTTATTGATTTTATTTACCTGTATACCCAAGATCATGTATAAGTTTCTCAGGTGAGAAGGGGACCCAAGTGGGATAAGAAGCTCTACTGTACAGTGTAAACATTTCTCTGGGTTTAGTTTTAGACTTCTAAAACATTACTGTTAGCTGGGTATGGCAGAGCATATCTATAATCTCACCACTAATGAAGCAGAGGAGGAGGAGGATCATGATAAGTCTGAGGACTTCCTGGTCTACATAGCAATTCTAAGCCCCACCTCCACCTCTAACACCTGCTTCCCAACCCACAAAAACCATTATTATTAATGTTTGTATCATATAGATGGTCACTTAACCATCAACTTATTACTGAAGTTTAGGTTTTTTTTTTTCCCCTAATCCTTCTGTATTTATAACTGTTTAAAACAGTCTAAAGGCTGGCATAGGCAAGCTCCTGTAATCCCAGCACTCAGGAGGTGTGAGAGTTTAAGGCCAGTCCTGGATACATAGTAAGTTTTAGACCAACTTGAGGTAGGTAGTGAGACCCTAATCTAAAAAAAAAAAAAACTACAGCAAAACTCCAATAAAACAATAAAAACAAAATAGAATAACGACAATTTAAAAATGGGGAAAAATACCATTAACCCATCCTTGAACTACCAGTTATTTCTTGAAGTGTAAGTCAACATTTCAATGTCTTTTGAAATATTATATCAAATTGCTTTTCAGAAAATGTAGGGAATTCATGTCCACACTGCTAGGAACACATGTGAAATAACTTCTGAATCCCTTCTGTGTCTAGGCTTCAGAAACTATAGGGTATGGTCCTGGTCTGTGGGAAAATGGATCTAAGGGCTTTCTGGGCCTTGTGATGAGAGATCAGGAAGGGCAAGTCTTAATTTAGGGTCCGAGATAAAGCAGCAACATGTGTTCAAGAACTGTTAGCATACTAACTACTTACACAGTTGGGCAGGGAGACCAAACCCATCTCCATCATGTCAGAAGTAAGTGACATCTCGATGAATCAGATGATTTTAAAATATTTATTTCATGTACATGGGTGTTTTGATTGCATGTATGTCTGTGTACCATATGTGTGCCTAGTATCACAGAGGCCAGAAAAGAGTGTTGGATCCCTAGAACTAGGTTACAGAAGGTTGTGAGCTGCCATGTGAGTGCAGGGAATCAAACCTGGGTCCTCTAGAGGAGTAGCAAGTGCTCTTAATCATTGAGCCACCTCTCTGGCCCCTGAATCAGGTGATTTGGGAGTTGAGTTTTATAGGTGAGTGCTTATTTATACCAAAGAGCCAATTTATTTTTCTTTTTTAAAAGTTTCTTTTTATATTTTAAACTTTTTATTTTATGTGTATGAGTATTATATACACTTACATGTCTCTCTGTGTACCACATGTGTACCTGGTGCCTGAGAAGTTCAGAAGAGGACATCAGGTCCCTTGAAACTGGAGTTATAATTGTGAGCTGTAATGTGGGTGCTAGGAATTGAACCTAGGTCCTGTGGAAGAGTGGCCAGTGCTCTTCATCATTAAGCCACCAGTTTATCTTGTTATTACTGCCTGTAGAAGTTGCCTTGAAACTGTTTTTTTGTTGTTTTAGTTTTTAAAAATCTCAAATTTAACATAGGGCAGAAGCTGTTCTTTTTTTTTTTTAAGATTTACTTTTATTCATTTTAGTTGTATATATGTGTGTATCTGTGTGAGGATATGTGCACATGAGTCCAGTGCCCTAGGACTCTAGAGGCCAGAGGCCTAGGATTCCTTGGAACTGAAATTACAGGCAGTTATGAGCTACTATGTGAGCGCTGGGAATTGACCTCTGGTCCTGTGAAAGAACAGCATGTTCTTAACCACTGAACCAACCCTCCAGCCCAAAGGCTCTTCTTTGATGTAGTTTGTGAACTGATTTGATTTGATGCTAAAGCCATCCTTGAGTCTCTCTCTCTTTCTCTCTCCCTCCCTCCCTCCCTCCCTCCCTCCCTCCCTCCCTCCCTCCCTCCCTCTCTCTCTCTATCTCTTTCTCTTCTTTCTTTCCTTCTTTCTTATAGGGTCTCCCTGTGTAAGCTTGACTGGTCTGGAACTTGCTATGTAGGCCAGGCTGCTCTTGAACTCAGAGATCTACCTACTTCTGCAGCTGAGTCCTGGGGTTAAAGGTGTGCATCACTCCTGGAAACACAGCTGTGTTCCTGATGTGGTGCATTAACCCCTTCATTACAGTGTTCTGTTCTTCTCATTTACTCTCATGTGTTATCAAGTGAGAGACTAACCTAGTGCCAGCTGTGCCACCAAATTTCTCTTCTGGGAAAGATTTGATCTGGGCTAAATTGTAGTTGGGCTTTTCTTTGAGCCACCAGCTCATAAGAGATACACAGAGACTTGTATTAATTATGAAAGCTTAGCCTTAGCTTATGCTTGTTTCTAACTATTATAACTTAAATTAATCCATTTTTAATAATTTACTTTTTGCTTCATGGCTTTATTACCTCATCTCTATACTGCCCATACTGCTTGCTCTGTGTCTCCTGGCATCTCTGCCTTCTTCCCAGTGTCCTCTCTGCCCAGAAATCCTGGCTAGCTATTGGCCATTCAGCTTTTTATTATACCAGTCAGAGTGACACATCTTTACAGTGTACAAAAAGATTATTTCACAACACTAAGTCAACTGTGTTTTAAGTCTAGCCATGAAGTAATCTTACTGCCTTATTTTCCTCCATCACAGGAAAAAGGTCACAGTCAAGGCCGACTGCTCAGCCTCTTGGAACAGTCTGAACACAAGACCACAGGTGAAGACCCCAAGACCATTTATCTGGATTTCTGTCTAGGCCTTCTAGTGAAGATAGCAAATCTCACCCTTCAGATGATTGTTGGGATTATAAGTAAATTGTTTTGGAGCCAATCAGCTAGCCTTTGAAATTTAATCTAGGCCATCTCTTCCCAAGGAAGGATAAGGAGATACCCTGTCTTAACCCATCATGGCTTTAATGTAATGCTTTATAAAGCTAGAGTCTGAACTGCCTGTTAAACTGGGGAGTGGTTCCAAATTGCAAAATGCCAGAAAATAGATCTTCTAAAGGAACAGTCATAGAAAACCACACATGCAGATATTACTGCCTCTTCTCAATGTTTGTAAATCATTACCTTTAGCTTAGTGTCACTTACACTCCTACGAAATTGTAGGAAGTAACTTTGTGTCTCTAGTATTTAGGGAGCATTAGAGTAGATTCATCAGGAGCAATAGTAATACTAACTTTAGCGATTGCAAGGATTGTATCTAGTAAAGCACTAAATATATTCCCTGGCATTAGTAGGCTTTTGCTGGATGTTAGATGCTATTGTTCCTGTTAGTTGCTATTGTTAAAATTTGCCAAATACAAATTGAACAATAACTTTTTGCTTACTGTCTAGTTATAATAGTTTATTACCACCAAGCAAATCTGTTTTGTTTTGTGATGACTGTAAAAAGAGCCTGTCTCACATCTTGCTTCTAGATCACCAGGTTGTGAATCTCTCAGGTGGCAGGTTTCCCCTGGCAGCCCTTATTGCCTGAGTCTAGATCTGAAGTAGATTTATTCAGAAATGATTCATTCAGAAGTGTTTACCTGCAGCTGAGCCTGTTGGATGCTAATGCTCACATTCCATTGGTCTAAGGATTGGAGAGCTGAGCTACTTGAATAGGCCTGATGAAAAGCACCAGACAATGAGAAGCTATGACTGCTAATGTTAGTACTTTTATCTCTCCAGGTGTAGAGGAAAAAACCAAGTCTTCAGAAGCAAGAGCCTTCAGGTAAGTTGGGTTATGCACGAAGTGTATTGTCAGCAGCTCTGGCAAGTGTGAGCCTAATGCTGGATTCTTTGTGTAGGAATGATAATTAAAAATGCTAAAATAAAAATCACTGTAGAACTAACACAATTCTTTAACCTGATGATCCTGTTATATCTGGATTAAGAACTGGATGGAAGCTGGGCGGTGGTGGCGCACGCCTTTAATCCCAGCACTTGGGAGGCAGAGGCAGGTGGATCTCTGTGAGTTCAAGGCCAGCCTGGTCTACAAAGTGAGTTCCAGGAAAGGCGCAAAACTACAGAGAAACCCTGTCTCGAAAAACCAAAAAAAAAAAAAAAAAAAAAAAAAGAACTAGATGGATAGCTGTATTGACGGTAAAGTAAGTAGGGTTATGCGTTACTCTTTTCTTCTTTTCAGTTCCCATCCAAATTCTAGCAGATTTGGGAATTTGGATCTAACTCCACAGTCTTTCAATGTCTCTATGGCTTTAGATTATGTGATTTACACAGTATTCTCATCTGTAAAAGCAGAATGCTTACAACTTACATGGCTAGAGTACTATAGAAATTATGTGTGCTAATATAATTTAAAGCCTCCACTATAGTGCATAGCTCATAATTGGTGCTTACCAGCTACATGTTGAACTTGAAACCAGGCATGGTGGGACACGCCTTTAATCCCAACATGGGAGACAGAGGCAGACTGATAGAGTTCATGGCTAGCTGGGTCTACATAGTGAGAACCCCCCCCCCCCTTTTTTTTTCCAATAAAGACTAGAGAGATGCTCAGGGTTTAGGAGCACTAGCTGCTCTTCCAGAGGACCCAGGCTCAATTCCTAGCATCTTCGTGGTGGCTCACAACCATCTGTAACTCTAGTCACAGGAGCTCTAGCACTCTCCTCTGTCCTTGAGGGGCACCAGGCATACATGTATGTGGTATACAACTATACACGCAGACATCTTTACACATAAAGAAAAAAATTTTAAAGAGCTGGACACACATACACACGTAATATGTCTCACTTGAGTTTTTTCTCTCTGTCTAGGATATCTTCACCAGAGGTGGAAGAGGCTAGCTGCAGCAGAGAGATGCAGAGTTCCCTACCACAGCTCAACTTAAATGAGTCTCCCATCAAGTCTTTTGTTCCTGTTTCAGAAGCCACAAATTGCTTAGTGGACTTTAAAGACCAATTTACTTTCCGGTCACGAACCAAATCAGGCAGAGGAAGGAGGAGAAAATCTTGACTGTCTTGGGACTGGAAGTTGACCAGAACCATTGTTGTTGGGTTGGTCATGTTCATTAATTATAGTGGTCTCTAGTTTGTTGTGAGAGTTTCGACCCTATCGTTTTCACCACCAGCACCCACTCAGCATCCTGATTTTTATGTTTTATAAGATCTTTTCAGACAATTGTGAACAGCATTCTGTTTTACAACAGTCTATTTAAATTTGCTTATAGTTAAATTTTAAATATATTTATCTATGTTTATATGAAATCTTGTTTCAATATATGGAGATTTTCTTTCTTTGTATTTCTGTTGTGAGCTTTGGATGAGGATATTTTAATTGAAGAGGTAGTTTTTCACTCATAAACTGTGTGTTCCTGAATGAATTTCATAGTTAATCTTTGATATACTAACCACATTCATTTCAACTGCACTGCACAATTCTGAACATTGACTGAACCTGGCATCATTTTGGATGTACCAAAGATGTTGAATCCCACTACTTACTGTTATCTCTTTCATTCAGTGACCACCTATAAGTTCATCTTGCTCTACTCACCCAGTTAAGAATTGTAAGCCAGGAAAATAGAAATGTGACCTGCCATCCTTCCCCTGGAATTTTGTTTGTTTTGTTTTTGTTTTTCAAGTCAGGGTTTCTCTGTGTAGCCCTAGCTGTTCTGGAACTCACTCTATAGACCAGACTGGCCTCGAACTCACTGAGATCCACCTGCCTCTGCCTTTGAGTGTTGGGATTAAAGGTGTGTGCTACCACCGCCCAGCTTCCCCTGGAATTTTTAAGTGAACACTGTTGTATTAGTTCCTATGTAGTTTTTTTCAAAGTAGATTTACCAGTGGGAGTACCAGGCACAGTTATCTGTTTAAACCAGATTTTTTTCGTTTGCTGCTACAGATCATGTGGCAGCAGCAAATTCTGTTTCAGTGGCAGTACTAGAGCAGTACATATTCTCCACAGTGTTGCCTGAGCCCTTCCAGTGCAGAAGAGAGGTGTGGTTTATCCTTAGTGCCCAGGGGACCCAAAGTGAGAGATTCCAATAGCAGAAGGAGCTAACCAAAGGAGGTAGTCAGACAAGGGTGCAGAAGAGCCAGCTGGTGGACAGCTGAATGAAAGAGACTGTAAGAGGTAGATATCAGCAGTACAGGATCTTAGACCAGGGTAAGCTAATATACAGCTCAGATGCCTAACTTGTGATTCATCATATCTAAAGCTGTTTTTTATTTTAAAATGAAAATGAGATGTGTGCCACACTGGGGAATTCTTAGCTGGACTGGAAGACCCAGTACAGACATTAAGGACTATGTCATGTGTAGATGTAACCAACCGTCTTATTAAATAAGAAACACAGAGCCGATTCAGAGAAGAAAGCCAAGAGGTCAGAGCTAAGAGCCTCACCCTTCCTGCTTCAGCGATTCTCTTCAGCCAAGAGAGCTCTCCGAAAGGGACCTACTTCCTGTGTGTATGTCTTTATATAGTCTAGCTGTTCTGCCTTCTCATTGCCTGCCTCGTCACTGCCTGTATGTACCGCCCTCCAGGTCCTTAAAGGCGTGCACCACTGCCGCCACACACTTGCTATGGCTCTAATAGCTCTGACCCCCAGGCAACTTTATTTATTAACATACAATTAAAATCACATTTCAGTACAAGTAAAATACCACCACAGTCATGCCCTTTGCACACAAACTCCTTGAGTTGTAGTCAAGATGGAAAATACCTGTTCCCACCACAGGCAATGTCTTGCTCTGGGTTGGAGCCAACACTGCGACCAGCATCACACATACAATTTCTTATTTTTTGATCAATCACCACAGTCCAGCCAATATATGTACTGTCATTTTATCCTCATAGAAACATGTTTTTAAGCCGGGCGGTGGTGGCGCACGCCTTTAATCCCAGCACTCAGGGGGCAGAGGCAGGCGGATCTCTGTGAGTTCAAGGCCAGCCTGGTCTCCAAAGTGAATTCCAGGAAAGGCGCAAAGCTACACAGAGAAACCCTGTCTCGAAAAACCAAAAAAAAAAAAAAAAAGCAACATGTTTATATATATATATATATATATATATATATATATATATATATATATATATATATCTCCTCATATAACCAACTCTGAGATGAGGAAACAGTTGGAAGAGGAACAAGTAAAAGGACTGTATACCCACGGCTGTGAGACTAGTCATGGACTCTCTTCATTTCTAAAGAAAACCTTGGCTTTTGACATCAGTACTGATGGTTTTCTTGTTTTTCCTCCTGAGGAAAAGTGTACCAGACATGTCCCATTAGTATAACCCTCATTTTATATCTCTCATTAATTGGCCATTTAGGAGGTAGATCTCTATAAATGCTGTAGTTTGTATTTCTGTATATGAAGTCAAGGGAAAGTGCTGCTTCTAGAAAGAGATTAGCTAAAATTTGAGCAGGCTCTAGAGAATGTGGGCCATTGGCTAAGGGTATAGATTAGCAAGACCAGGAATTCTCAGCCTAAATGGGACTCAAGGAAAGAGAAGACCCCCCCAACCCCCACAACTGCCTTCAGTGGGGACTGCTCATTTGTCCAATCTGTCGTCCCTTACTGTAGTTTTGACGGTAGGTGCCTTAATCAAAAAGTGACAATTATGTCAGATCAACCCAAGTCTGCACCCTGCTTCTGAAACAAGTTACTCAGTCCTTCTTGGACTTAGTTTACTTGTCCGTAAAATGAGGGGAAAAAATACTTAAAGTGTTCTCAGTATTAACAAAATGTTTGTAAAGATGCTAAACACATTTGCTACAAATGTATAGTGGCAGCAACTGTCGCTAACGTTACTCTACTTTTGTATATCATCAATAGTATTGCAGTGAGAGGTGGAGGGCCAGAGAGGTGGTCTGCAGCTGCAAGAGGAGACATTTATCTGAGGAATGAGCACACTGGGCAACTCCCCAAGACCCGTGAGCCACAGGAAGCCTGGATCTTAGACACTTAACTTTCCTGGGGCCTCTGGGTAGTTCTTCTGAAAGATTGCCAGCTCATGGGGAATTTCAAAGCTCCATGAACTAAACAAACTAATGCTATAAACTGGGGGAGACTTGTATCTAACAACATCATAGTTGTGATCATTTTGTCCTTATCAGAGGCTGTACCTGACCCACTTTACCCAGGTACTTACCCTTCTATAGACTCTATACTCACAGGGCTTTATTGAAAATACTTACAACTGTGTGTTACAAGAAGGTGTCTATAGCACGAATCTTAAATGGTCTTTTTAATAAAAACAAACCCAAAGCCAGGTATTGAGGTGAATGCTGGAAGATCAGAGAAGCAGAACAAGCCACAGCCACATCACCTTGCCAATTCCTCGCTGATCCTGTTTCCTCACACTGGAAGCCTCTGTCTGAGTCCTCATCCAGAATGAATCTCAGCTGAACTACTGCTAAAAGCCTAAAAGCTTAACTAGCTCTAGTTTCTGGTTTTCATGCCTTTATACCTTTCTGCTTTTTGTCATCACTTCCTGGGATTAAAGGTGTGAGTCACCACGCCTGGCTGTTTCCAGTGTGGCCTTGAACTCACAGAGATCCAGGCAGATCTCTGCCTCCAGAAGGCTAGGATTAAAGGTGTGCGTGCCACCATTTTCTAGCCTCTATCTAGTGGCTGTTCTGTTCTCTGACCCCAAAAAAGTTTATTAGGGTGCACAATATTTTGGGGAACACAATATCACCACATTTCCCCCTTTTTTTGTCTAAAATTAAAAAAAAAAGCTTATAACTAATACAAGAAAAATATATCCAGTAAGTATATACAATATATACAGTCAAGAATTATATTAACAATGTCTAGTCCATTAACATTTGATAAACTCAGACAAAAAATTTTCATTACTTATCCTATTTAAAACAAGTAGTCCCTTTTTAAAAGTAGATTCAATAATTGACCTTTTTATCTTATCATATCTTTCCAAAGGGGAAGGATGGCAGTGGCAGTGAAGGGTAAGAAAGGGTTTTTAGTATCAGCTCTTAGCTACTGCTCTGACCTCTTGGGCTTTTAACTCTGCATTTGGCTCTGTGTTTCTTATTTAATAAGACAGTTACATCCACAGGTGTCCCTTAGTTTCTGTTGGCACAAGCTGTAAGTGCCAAGAACTAGTGCTCTGGTGCAGCTCTTGGCCAATAAAAATAGAAGTTGGAGTATATAAGTAACCCATTTTCTTCATGTCTCAGGTGGAACAACTGAGATACATTTACCGTTTTCTCATGGATCCTCTTGTAGAGTTGGACCATCATAGCACCCATAACAACTTAAATGTGTCTTGGCTTCTTTTTCTTGCTATCTCACTTTAAAATTCCCTCATAACTAGGTATGAGGCCCTTACTTTTGGGTTCATGTAAGTACAGGGTTAGCACTTGCATGAACATGCAGCATTCTATCTTGCTTACTTTCATCACCCTAATTTCAGCTCTATTTTGGAATCTTCTGAAATACAATATATGATTAGGTCTAATTCTCGGGAACCAAACCTGGAAGTAGACCTCTTGACTCTACTTAAAAAGAAAAAAATCTGGTCGTAGTGGCACATGCCTTTAATCCCTGCACTGGGGAGGCAGAGGCAAGTGGATCTCATAAGTTCAAGGCTGGTCTGGTCTCTGTAAACAAATGTTTCCTGTCTCAATTGCCCAGTCCCAAATAAACACACAGAGGCTTATATGAATTATAAATGCTTAGCCAATAGCTCAGGCTTATTACTAACTAGCTGTTAGATTTTAAGTTAACCCATATTCCTTATTTATGCTCTGCCATGTGGCAGTACCTTTGGCATGTTCATTTCCTGCTCCCTGTGTCTGGCTGGCGACTCCTGACTCTGCCCTTCTCCTTCCTATCATTCTTAGTTTGGTCACCCCACCTATACTTTCTGCCTGGCTACTGGCCAAGCTTTTATTAAACCAGTTTGAGTGACAAATCTTTACGGTGTACAAGAGGATTATTCCACAGCAGATCTCCATAATTCAAAGACAGCCAGGGCTATGTAGAAAAACCCTGTCACGCAGAAGTAGGTAGACTCAAGGAGTTCTGGCAGCACTTACTGTAAGCATGACTTATAGATGGGCCTTTCATATTCTGTTCCATGTTCTGCTTCAGTGAAACAAAGTTGAGAGACTAATCCCTGGCTAGACAGGACGCTGTGTTGCAGGTGATGGCCATTTACCATTTTGCCCTCCCCAGCTTCACTTTTTACCTCCCTTTTACTGCCTGTATGGCTGGTTGGTGTCCAATAAATGTATAACAAGGCTGATATCTACCATGTTTACAAGTCTAAAGCAAATCCTGTGGAGAAATTACGTGTTTTATACATGGAATATTCAAACTCAGGGCCAGCAAGATGGTTCAGCAGGTGAAGTGCTTACTACATAAGCCTAATGACCTGGGTTCAACACAAAGTCCTCTGACCTCCACATGTATGTTCACCGTGGCTTGTACTTCCTCCTGCACACTCATATCATATATCCAATTGTAGCTAGAGTTTTCCTGCTTTGCTCACAGTCAGGATAAATCTCACCCGCCAGTCCCACAGTCGCTCAGACCCAACCAAGTAAACACAGAGACTTATATTGGTTACAAACTGTATGGCCATGGCAGGCTTCTTGCTAACTGTTCTTACAGCTTAAATTAATCCATTTCCATTAATCTATACCTTGTCACATGGCTCGTGGCTTACCGGCATCTTCACATGCTGTTTGTCATCCTGGCGGCTGGCAGTGTCTCTCTGATTTAGCCTTCCACTTCCCAGCTTTATTCTCCTCCATGTCCCGCCTACACTTCCTGCCTAGCCACTGGCCAATCAGTGATTTATTTATTGACCAATCAGAGCAACACATTTGCCATACAGAACATCCCACAGCATCCAATAATAAAAACAACAACAAAAAACCCACCCAAACCTTAGACTCAGAAAAGTGAAAGAGTTTCATGAATCAGTTGGGAAAACGGGTTGAGTTTGAACCTAGGTCTGTCTGATATCCAAGTTCATGCTGTCTGTATTGTCTCTGATCTTCCATTGAGTCACAAAACTGGAAATTTGAGCTTGGGATGGTCTTCTTGCCTGTAAGTCAAGGCGACTTTAGCCTTAGGTTGATTTTAGCCTATGTGAACTGGGGAGAGGAAAGGGCAAGTAGTCAATGAATGGAAAGTTGGTGGTTACCAGTGGGAAGATGGAACATTGTGGACACTCAGGAAGAGTACTGAAGACATGCACCAGAAGTGGGGAAGAAGTTGCTTGCCGTTTCAAAAGCGCTGGACTGTTGTGGGAGGGCTCTTCAGTTTAGCAAAAAATAATGGGTACTTATTCCGTATCAAATCTAGAACCTGATCCTGAGGCTCTAAGGGTGTATAAGAAACGTGAGAGCCCACAGTTGAGCAGGTAAGATAAACACAGATGATTTTAATAAATACAGTAGTCTGGCCCCAAGCTGGGGTCAGAGCTGGGCCTAACTTGTTATGAGAGGGAGTCCCACCACTGTTGATAACTGTAATTGAAGGGGAAATAGATGAAAAGGTTAGAGAGGCCAGCGGTTATCAGTAGGTCACTGTAGACAATGAACAGAGACACAACAGAAGTAGTGCCTGTGAGAGAGCTGCAGGGCATATCCAAAGCATAAGGGGTGTGGAGGATGATTGTCTAGGGGCCTGCCTGCCTGGCTGTGGGCACTGTAGGCTCAGAAGAGCAAGCTCAAAGCAGGGAGAGCCTGGCCTTCCAGCCCAGTAGTGATATTCTAGTTATGCTGTGTTTGGCTCTCCCCATTCTACAGTTGTTTCTGATGGCTGAAGACTGCACTAAGGGGTGTTGAGGGAACCTTGTCAGGACTTGACTTTCCCTTGTTGGTCAGTGGCCATCTGGTGTCTGCTTGAGTGTTGCTGGCAAGTGCTGTGCCTCTGCTACAGACAAGACTGGCCCAAATGTTCAAATCTCAAGACCTTCGGCCTTCTCCACTGGCCTTGATTTAGGAGGTCTATGGCACACCCACTTCCTGGTGAAATGAAAATGGGACTTTAAGAATCATGGACAAGATGTCATGAAAATAACCTCCAGGAGCATATCCCCATGTCGACTCAAGAGACTGCAGCTGTCATGAGTCACAGCTAGGCCTTTCACATTCAGTTCCAAACTCTCCCTCAACTAAACAAAGTTAAGGGACCAGAGCCTCAGACTCAGCAAGGTGCTATGTAGTAGATGATGGTCAGTTTGCTTTCCCCAACACCATTCTTGACTATCTTTCATAGCTTCTATAAACTACAGGGCTATGCCTTGCCACGTTTATAGGTCTGATCCCAGCAAAGCTGCTACAGAAGCCACCTCTGCTCATCTATGTTTTGTGGAGGCCTTCACTAACTGGGTAATAGTGTGACTGCTAATGTAGTAGCCTTAAGTTTTAGTGTGCCCACCAGTTTACCTGAGTTGTAACAGGCACTTAGAAGCTGCTTTTGTTAGGCATTGTGTCTAACTCCCACTTTCTCTGCATGGGCATGCTAATTACTCAAGGAGTATATGTAGCTGGAGAATTTCTCTCCAGCTCCCACCAAGTCCCGCCAGTCCCAGAGCCCACTTATAAAATAAATACACAGACTCTTACATTATTTAAACTGCTTGGCCATTAGCTTAGGCCTATCATTGTCTAGCTCTTACTCTTATATTTAGCCCATTTCTATTAATCTATACTTTGCCATGTGGCTTGAAGCTTACTGGTACCTTACATCTTGCTTGTCCTGGCGGCGGCTCCAGCCCGTCCCTTGCTCTGCCTTCCTGTTCCCTCAATTCTCCTCTCTGTTAGTCCTGCCTATACTTCCTGTCTGGCTACTGGCCAATCAGTGTTTATTTATACAGAGCGATATCCACAGCAAGTATATATCTCTCTAACCTAATGGTTCTCCACCTTCCTAATGCTGCAACCCTTTAATACAATTCCTCATGTTGTGACTCCCAGTCATAAAATTATCTTTGTTGCTACTTCATAACTAATTTTGCTACTGTTATGAATTGTAATGTGTTTTTTTCTGATGGTCTTAGGCAACCCCTATGTAAAGGTTGTTCAACCTGCAAGGGGCCACGACCCAGAGGCTGAGAACCATTGCTCTAACCTCTTTCTTCCTTCAAGGCTGAAGGCACAAAATTAAGTCATTGTCCTAAACCTTCAGTCATCTTGTATCCAGCAACAGCAAAGTCTCACAGGATAGCACCTCCTTCTCAAACAATAATGACTACTATGATATAGAAGCTATACCCCAAAGCAGACCTTCCAGTAGAATTCAGACTGGCCTCCTTGGATGAAAGAACAGCTTATCAAAAGACTGACTACCTTGCAGGATCAGAGCTGAGAGTGATGGGTGGAACCATACCTTGATCAAGACCACTAAATTATGCATATCTCTTGACTGTCCTAATTCTTTCACTGTTTGAAGATAAAGCTCTTCTAAGTACCCTGAAGAGAATCCTGGAGGTCACTGGGCCCTTTATCTGTCCCTCTTCCAAATGCACACTGCTTTTCATTATTACTCATTTCTTTAATTGATATATTGGGGGTGGCTGAACACACACACACACACACACACACACACACACACACACCCCTGTGGTTACAAAGTGAAGATTGTTACAGTGTGCCTAGTTTCCTACATTAGTGCCCCAAGATTGCATTTCAGGGAAATAGTTAAATGGAATAAGAGTGTAGTGACCAGGAGCTCCGCAGAAGCTTAAGAACCCCATCTTCCAGAAGGGGATTCCTGCAGACAAACCCCTCACTCCACTTTGCCTACAGACTAAAGGCTAGACTCCCTGGTCTGCCTGTCACTTCTTTGGCCAGGTATCCCACCTATGGGCATATTCATGAGGCTCTGAGAGCTGTAGCCAGTTCTCTGAAGACACCTGTCTGTATGACCATTGGCTGCATGCATGCTCTCTTTGTGAAAGGACCTCTTCGACTTGCCCTGCTCACTCTCCTGCAGAGTCATGATGGCCCTTCCTCTTAGGTTCCCACATTGCTTCTTACACAGTTCTACTTGCTACATTTTGAACAGTTGCCTGTTGCAACCACGTATTTCCAGACTGGTCTCTGCTTCTTCCAAGGAACTTACCACTTCAAAACTTAGGCTTTATAAAGCAACAGAGCTCCTAGCATTGCAGAGAGAATGTTTTGGAATCCTTAACAAAATTGGGGCCTCCAACTTCCTGTGATCATCTTGCTTGTTTGTAACATGGTCCTGCCTGCCCCGGGCTCCTCTTAGGGCAGATTTGTAGGGAAGTGCACTTTCCTGAATTAGCATGTGTCTGTTAAGTGGTGGCTGAAGAAGGTGGGTGGAGCTTGGGGAGTTTATAGCAAGTCATCCCCGAGTTTCACTTTTGAGTTCAGTCCAGGGTCACCACGGTCCTCATATTTGGGAGAAGAGCTGAGACCAGAGGAAGGTAATCAACTTCCACATCTCCCAGGTAAGCTCTTCTTCTAACTGCTGCATGCCTCATCCCAAGCCCTCTTCCTTGGCATATCCTATAGCTAATGGAGGCTAGAAAGACTATACCACTAGTCCTCAATGGTGATAGCAGTACCCAGACTCAGGAGGGGCCTCTAGGATGTCATGCAAAAGAAGCACTCACTCCATGTCACTGATTGAGTTCACACATGGGCAGACTTGGGGCTGGTTCTGGTGATGGAGGAATGAAGACATGTCTCTCACTCTAGGGAGAGATAGGCCTGAATGCATTGACCTAGAGTTTAAATACTGGGGTTCCTTGGAGGGAGCTTCATAGTCTGCCATGTGCTGAGTAAATGTTGAATGGGTGAGCAGATGAGTAAGGGGATGATTATGCTAGCTGGGCCTTGAACAAAGGTAATTGCTTCAGCTGCCTCTTCATATCTTTTAACAGACTATTTCAATGTGTGTCCTCTTCTGACAGATTGGGAAACTAAGTGTTGGTATATGTAATTTAGGAGGGATTTGTCAGAAATAAATTTTTGGTTTACCAAATTACTGCCACCTTTTGAGACAGGGTCTTACTGTGTGGCCCAGGTTGTCCTCAAACTCATGATACTCCTGCCTCAGCCAACCAAGTGCTGGGTTTACAGGCATGAGTCCCAGGCCTACATTTGCCCAACCCTGTCCTGGCATCGGAGATACAGAGGTGACTCAGACATCACAAGGTTATGAGGCTAGCCCTTCAGACTAGGGAACAACTTCAGTGAAGACTAAAAAGTGGAAGACCAGGAGTCGGTGTGGCTGGAGTTTGAAGTGAGGAGTAGGGAGAGGAGGCTTAGGGTAAGTGCACATGAGGGTCCTGCAGTCCCACCACAGTGTTCTTCTGTGTGCAGGGGGAGCCATGAGTATGTGAGCAGGGTCCTGTAGTCCCACCACAGTGTACTGCTGTGTGCAGGGGGAGCCATGAGTATGTGAGCAGGGTCCTGTAGTCCCACCACAGTGTTCTGCTGTGTGCAGGGGGAGCCATGAGTATGTGAGCAGGGTCCTGTAGTCCCACCACAGTGTACTGCTGTGTGCAGGGGGAGCCATAATAGAGTGAGCAGGGCAAGCTTCGATCTGAGGAAGCAGAGGTATCACTCAGGATTGTTGGAATAGTCTGTGATTGTAGGGACAGGAAAGAGAAGACAGGCAAGGAAGTTCTTTCTCAGAGCCCCAGTTAGGTCATAAGTGACTGCTCCCTTCCAAGCAAACCTCCTGATGCTTCTAGTCAAGCAGGAGATAGATGTGTGGGAGAAGAATGGGGAAATGAATCTGCCTTTCCTGAGTTCAGGGAACCTCTCCCCTAGATAGTGCATAGGTCCCTGGTTGATTTGGAAGCCCTGACACAGAGGTTTTAGTGATGCAGGGGTCGGGAGAGGATGCCTTGGGTTTTGTTGCAGTGAAGGGAGAGTGCCCAGTGGACTGTTGTGCCGTCTTGACCTGTCTACTGGATTGTCCTTCTCCTTCACATCTGGATGGCATCAGAGCTACTGTAGATTCCCCTCGGATGGGCTGGGACGGTAGGAACAGTAGTGGTAGTAGCTCAGCTAAGCCAAATACCTGACATTTCTACAGACTCTGATGGTGTGACAAGGTTCACTAGCTCCTGTCATTATACTTTTTTCATGTGTTTGAGAGAGAACTGAGAATAATCGAGTTTCAGTTCAGATTCTGCTAAATGGATGTAAACCTGCACTCTAAACAAGATCTTGTTCACTTTTGTTCCATGTAGCCTTCTGGCAAATTGATCCTCATTCCACAGATGAGGAAAATGGGCCTCAAGTTTGGGAGGTCTGGTGCAGCCATCTTGTGGAGAACTGGGGTCCTGACTCCATTCTGCTCCACTGTCCTGTCCAAAGTCCACTCATGAATTGAGGTTTTTGTTGCACACTGAATTTCACAAAGTCTCTCCCAGGCCTTGTGCTGTTTGGTACAACAGCAGCCCTGTGAGGGTGGACGCCATCTCCTGCTGTATTCCAGATGCTGAAGCTGAAGGTCATCCAAGTGCATGCCATTAGTCCATCCCTTTCTGAAGCACAGAGTCAATTTCTAAAGCACACACCCCTTGGCACACTACTCTGTCTCATGTCCTTCTTCCTCAAAATGAAACTTAAGTGCTTGGCTTGTGCCAAAAGCCAGCCTGCTTGGTTTTGGGTCCCTTCTTACTTCCAGGTCCCTGACCTCCCAGTCACAGCAGCATAGTTATCCCTGTGTCCCGTCACTGCTTGTGCCAATCCTGCCGTGACGTTTGGTACGGCTGCGAAATCCCCGAGGGCAGGGCCTGCATCTGCTTTACCAGAATTGTTCATGGTGGGCGTTAGGAACCAGAGGATCTGCATGAATGAACATTTGAGCTTGGAATCAGCTTTCCCATGCTCTCTCATTACACATGCTTCTGGAAAATAACTGCCTCCTGGTGGATTGCTAAAGGATCCTTACTGTCAGAAGTTTTTATTCTTATATTATTAAAATATATATATTAATATAATATATTATGATATTATATTATTAAATTATTAAGTTTAATTCTGTTTACAACCCCCTTCTTGGTCCCTTTGGAAGGAAAGAAGTTGTGGGTCTGGGTTATTGCCTCTTGGAGCCTATGGAGTAAATGTTCTTGATTCCAGCTATCCCTTTTTCCCTATAGGTAGTCAATAGTCACTGTGGAAACATGGCCACCATTGGGGCTGTTGCTTTGCAGTCTGGAGAAGGAGCCTCAAGATGCCCACAGGAGGGCATGCCAAGGCCCTCAGATAGCTCAGAACTGGTAAGCCTAGCATTGGGTTCCAATTCTGTGCTTATTTAAGACTATTGAGGATATGATAACTAGAGGTATGGGTTGCTGGGCTCACACACTGTGGTCTCTTTACAGTCTGCTGAGCTGCTAATCTCCAATCTCTTTTGAAACTCCAAATAACTGCAAGGTGTAGATTGGTTTCGGGAGGAGGGGCTTAGAGATGAAAAACGACTCATTTAAGACGTAAGAGTTTGTACTGAGGACTGTCAACTTTAAAGTGCCACTTTTGCCAGATTGCCACATAGATGCTACACCTGCCCTACAAGGGCTGACATATCCAGAAAGGGCCTTCCCCATTTTCTTTAAAAAGAAAGTAAAATAAAGGGTTCTCTTGTGAAATGCTTATACTTTCACTATCAATACACTTTTACAGACTTATCCACCACAAAAAAGGAAGAAGAAGAAGAAAACCTGATGGAATTGAAACTTTCAAAAATTAGCCTTGTAACCCCTTTCACGATTGGTGTATTCCTTTGGCTCCATTCCATCCTTTCTTATCATTTAATGTTACCATTTCTTAGTCCTCTTTCTAAATGTTATACATTATTCACACTTACACCTGCACACACACACACACACACACACACACACACACACACACACACACACACTATAGGCTCGGTCGGAGCTGAGTCCTTGAGTCCTCCTCTCTCCAGTCTCTCTCTGGCACAGTTTCCTCATGCGGTCATGGCGGTCAGGCACCCAGGCACTGCGGTCAGGCACCCGAGGTGGCTAGTGCTGACTGGTTTCCTTAGAAGTCAGTATTTCTCTCTCCCTCCCACACTCCCTCCCTCCCTCCCTCTCTCCTTCTCACCCTCCCTCTCCCCTCCCCCTCCCCCCCTCTCTCCTCTATCTTTCTTTTCTTCTCTCCTCTTGGTTTGGTTTTGGTGGTGTGAGGATTGAGTCTGGGGCTTTATGCCACCGCCACATCCCCAGCCTCCCTTCATCTTGACTAAGATTCTGAAGTCTTCACCTACCACACCCTGGAGCAGAAAATGCTTATGTAAACCATTTCATAACTCTTGGTCTCCATTTCCTCATCAGCAAAGCAGAGGAAAATAACTTGAATTATTTGAAAGTTCTCATCAAATTTAAAAAACAGAAAGCCCTGTGGAGATAAAGGAACGTCCAAGAGGCGATGCTCAGCGAAGTGGACTTGGATCACCCCGTCTGTAGTTCCTGTGGTTTTCTGTCGTGTGCTCTGACATGTTTACTAGGTTTATTATCCAACTGTGGTGGCATTCCTGTCACTGAGTTTCACACACACACACCGCCCTCTCCTTTGTGCAACCTGTGCCTCAGGTTGCTGCTGTAAACGTTTCCTCTATGTTCTGCCCATAGCTGGGCCCCAGACGTGTGCAATGGCTGCTGTACCAGGGCTTGTTCCAGGTCATCATCATGTCCCTTCTTACTTCCTGCCCTGAGACCCCTGCACAGGTCCCACGTCTGCTGCGCTGGCTTTGTGGTGTGTACCTGCGGTTTCACAAATGCCCGATGGCTTTGCAGGGCTTCGCGGGGATACCAAATGCTCTATAGCCAGGGGCCTCACTCAACAACCCCGGCTTCCCTTCAGACTCCCTTTCCATAGCCGTATGTAGGTCCAGGGGCCTAATCACATGTCATCAGTGTCTAGCTACATCTTCTAGTCCCTTGCCAGACCTTTGCAGAGGTCTCTGTGTTTTGGGTTTTTTTTGTTGTTGTTTGTTTGTTTTTTTTGATTTTTCGAGAAAGGGTTTCTCTGTGTATTTTTGGAGCCTGTCCTGGATCTCACTCTGTAGCCCAGGCTGGCCTCGAACTCACAGAGATCTACCTGGCTCTGCCTCCTGAGTGCTGGGATTAAAGGCGTGCGCCACCACCGCCCGGCCGAGGTCTCTGTTTGTTACCTGTGGGTGTAGAATCAGGCCCACTAGGCTATTGTATCCCTTACTGCTGGCAGAAGCCTGACTTCAGAGGGTGTGGGGTCACACACTGTCTGGCACTGGTTTAGTCCCCATCCCTGCCACCTTTGCACTGCTGTCTGCACTTGACAGAGGAGGTCACTCACTCAAGCAGGTGGTGGATGTGACGGAGCCGAACTGGTACGGCAAGCTCGTGGGAACAGTCAGCATGGAGTCAACACCCTCCAGTGCCTTTCTCCTCACTCTCTGATGAGGTCTCCCGCTCCTGTGCCAGCGGGGCAGGAAGGAGAGGTTTGATGGCTTCTGGATAGTGTACGCCCTACTGCAGTCTGCTAGAGAAGTCAGTGTGTGTGTGTGTGTGTGTGTGTGTGTGTGTGTGTGTGTGTGTGTCTTAGTCACCTCATAGTCTCTCTCAAAGAGGAAGAAAACTATGAATCTGCCCAAGCTAGTAACTTCTCCATGTTCCCACTGTGCCCATCCAGCAATGCTAAAACACTTCCCATCTGAACAATGCCTCTCCACTTTTATGTACACTGTGTCCCCCACCCCCTGCTTTTTTTAAAACAGGGTCTTACTGTGTAGCCTGTGCTGGCCTGGAACTTACTATGTTGATGAGGCTATATCCCTTTTAATGCTTAGGTCACCCCAACTATTCAGTTAACAAATCCCAAGTCCTGTTCAGAGCTCTTGCCATGGTCCTTAGCTCCACAAGCAGGACGTGGTCCCCAGCACTGGGTGACATCTGAGTAGGACATTCACAGTTTGTATAGGAGATACCTGAGGCCTAGACTGCCATGACTTTCCTGGGATCAAAGAACCAGAGAGGGCCAGAGTGAGGACTGAGGTTTTCTCTTGCTTTTTTTGGTCTGGATTTTTATCGTGTTTGGTTTTTTCATGGGAGATGCTAGGTTTTTACCAAGCTTCCCACTGATATGGGAACATCTTTATAGTCAGGTCAACCCGGGTTCGCAATCCACCCTTCCCCTTCAGAGCTCCTTGGGCTGGGCAGATATGGCGTGCTCTCTCCAAGCCTCAGCTTCCTTATTTATAACACAGAAACAGCCCCTCCTAGTGTCTGGAAGCATCTGTTCCAGTGCAAACATATAACGGGATGTCTTGGACTCAAGTTGGGATGATATGCCTCCTTAGGGAGCGACCCCCCCCCCCCCCGACTCTTCATAAAGAGGGGTTGGCGTCGGTCCTCCTCACCTCCCTCTCTCACCCCTGCTCTCTTTAGATCAGTAGTTCTCACACCCCTGATGCTGCGACCCTTAACACAGCTCCTCATGTTGTGCTGACCCCCAACCATACAATTGTTTTCATTGCTACCTCATAACTGCAATTTTGCTACTGTTATGAACCGTAATATAAACATCTGTGTTTTCTAATGGTCTTGGGCGACCCCTGTGGAAAGGTTGTTCGACTCCCAAGGGGGTCACAACCCACATGTTGAGAACCACTGCTTTAGAGGACCTTTGTTCTCCAGGTGCCTAAGTTGCTTCTCAGATTTATGTCCAGTTTGGGGAATGGATCTTCAGAATAGAATTCCTGTGCCACAGGAGATGGGGCCTTGGGGAAGAAAATCTGATAAAAGTGGAGCTACTGAGCTGCGGCCCTCCGACAAATACAGCTTCCTTGGTGGATGAACAAGAGGGCCATCCAAGGGAAGCTTCTCGCAGAGCTGAGGGCTATGGTCTCCCTGTTTCTTGAGCTTCTAGTCGAGTGAGAACCTGATGTCACATCCTTCACCTTCTCATCCTCTCAGCCTTCCCATCGAGCTCTGATCCACTCCCAGGCCCATGTTCCCCCAAACCCGTCCCCATGTTCCCCCAAACCCGCCCCCTTGGCTGCGGAGAAAATCTTTTTATTCTCTTCCCTCAGGATGTGAGGTGGCTCATTCTCTTCCTTCATTGAGGTCACTACTGGTAAAGCCTCCTTCACTCATATCTAAGATGTGACTTCTCCTCTGGTCACACACTCCTGATCCTGCCTCTCCATTTTCAGTAGCCACAATCAGTACCAGGACCATATTTTATTGTTGACTCTGTCTTCCACAAGGGACTCAGCAGAGCTCAGCAGGAGCGGGACTTGTTTAGCTGTATGGTGGGCAGTGTTTGGAATGGTGCTAGGTGTTCAGCAAGGTGTAGTTGATGCGTTGGGAAGAATGGCCAACTGAAGGGAAGGCCATCTTCTGCTCTGTGGTCTGCGCGTATCCCTGTGGTGGGCTTGTTCAGGCTCCAGAGTCTGTGAGGGCTGGAGGCAAGCACTGGGGTGTGGGGTTTGTTCTGCCTTTGTTCACTCATTGAATGCTTACAGAGAGACCACTACAGCACGCTTGTTCTGGAGAACGGGAAAGCAATTATAGCATCCTGAGAGAGGCTTCACCAAACCTTACATTTCAAAAGCTAGATGGGCAGGGTAGAGGATGTAGGAGCTGAGAGGAAGTCACCGGGACATGGAGCACAAAGAGGGATGCAGGAGCTTGGGGTAGGCTTTGCACAGCAAGAGAGCCAAGGAGTGAGAAGCAGTGAGGAGGGGGACTTGAAGACCAGTGAGGCTCAGGGAGGCTGGAGCAGGATGCTAGCCAGCCCCTGGAAAGCAGAGGGCCTAAGAAGGCGGGCTGAGTCAGGCAGGACAGTCCTCTGTCCTATCTGAATGGAGAATGGCTCCCTCCCAAATGTTGGTTTGCTTCTTCTTAGGTACAGGAATGCTTGCAACAATTCAAAGTGACCAAGATACAGCTGCAGAGGATCCAAGCAAGTCTTTTGTGCTCCATGGAGCAGTCACTGAAGGGACAGGACAGTCCTGCCCCTTCTGTCCGGATGTTGCCCACATATGTGGGGTCCACACCACATGGCACCGGTGGGTAGCACAGACTAGGATGGTGGCCAGACATAGAGTGTGTTCTGATCTGGGGGAAGGGGAAGTTCCTTATCTTTGTCCACCATCTCTAAGGCCCCTTTTACTGAGCTTCTCAGACTTCGGAAGTTTTTCTGGGAGGCAGGCAGCCTTGGTGTTGCCAACTGCATGTCTTTCTATGACCTGTTTGTCCTCTAGAGCAGGGAGACTTCCTGGTGCTGGAGCTGGGGGCAACAGGAGCCTCCCTACGTGTGTTGTGGGTGACACTGACAGGCACCAAAGAGCGTAGTGTGGAGCCCAAGAGCCAGGAGTTTGTGATCCCTCAAGAGGTGATGCTGGGTTCTGGCCAGCAGGTGAGCAGTCCTTGTGCGTCCTCTGGGGCTTGACTTGGTTGGGTGGCTGGGGCTCAGGTGGTCAGCGCTAAGCACTCGTCTTGTTCCCACAGCTCTTTGACTTTGCTGCCCACTGTCTGTCTGAATTCCTGGATGCACACCCTGTGGAGAATCAGGCCCTGAAGCTTGGGTTCAATTTCTCTTTCCCTTGTCACCAGACGGGCTTGGACAGGGTGAGGTGGGGGACACATCGGGGCTGGTGGGTGGAAAGAGACCGCAGCTCTTGTGAAGGCCACAAGGGGAAAAAAATAACCCTGCTCTTCTGCCCCCAGAGCACTCTCATTTCCTGGACAAAAGGCTTTAGGTGCAGTGGTGTGGAAGGCCAGGATGTGGTCCAGCTGCTAAGAGAGGCCATTCAGAGGCAGGGGGTGAGTGAAGGTCAGGGTGATGGAGAGCTGGCCCTGCTGGCCTGGGCGTGGCGTCTGTAGGTCATGCCTGTGTTTCTGGAAGGTCCTGCTTTCCTTTCCTGTGCACAGCCTTTATCCCGTTTGACCCTGGGGTTAATGTTGCTCCCATAGCCAGCAATTAAGCAGAGGCTGAGAAAGACTCACCTGCAATGACCATGCCCTGGGGGACATGAAAAACACCTAGGACCCAGCCCTCAACGTCCTCACGTTCTGGAAGGGAAAGTATTCTAATAAAAGATTGCCCCTGTGTTCAGATAACTCTAGTAGCAGCAGAGGGTGCAGGGAAGGAGCAGTTTATCTTATGCCTGAGCCGAGGCTCTAGAGGAAGATCAAATGTAAGAGGAGCATGTATGTCCAAATCCCAGTGCTCTAGAAGGGCAAGTCCTCTTGGACTAACCCCAAGGTACTGATTAGAAGTCAAATTAGAAAGGATAGCTTGGGGTGCCAGGCCAGGGTGTGGTGAGACAAGCATGGGTCAGTCTTCAAGAAGGCACTCAGCTTTGGGACCTCCTTCCTGGTCCTATGGGTATAGGAGGAGCCTCCGTGATCCTGAGAGCTTGAGTTGGGGCAGGGGATGGAAGGAGAACCTGGAACATGGGCCCGAGGTATATGTATGGGACATGCAGACATTTCACGACTCTGGGTATCTCCTCCAAAGCCTCGGCGCTCTGGCCACCCAGGCTGACTCTGACTCTGTTCTCTCCATTGCCCAGACCTACAGTATTGATGTGGTGGCCATGGTGAATGACACAGTGGGCACCATGATGGGCTGTGACCTGGGCACCAGGCCGTGTGAAGTTGGGCTTGTTGTAGGTAAGCCATGGGCCATTTGTGATGAAGGGTGATAGCTGCTTGGTGGGCAGGCTCTGACGGGGTCCTCCCTGCCAGACACTGGTACCAATGCGTGTTACATGGAGGAGGCACGGCATGTGGAAGCTCTGGATGAGGACCGTGGTCGCACCTGTGTCAGCGTCGAGTGGGGCTCCTTCTGTGATGATGAGGCCCTCGGGCCAGTACTGACCACCTTCGACCGTGCCCTGGACCACAGATCCCTAATTCCTGGTGCTCAGAGGTGGTAGCCTGGTAGTCCCCCTGACTCTGCTCTAGGCCCTGTCCTACCACTATTCTATCCTACCTCTTTCACTCTTGGGCCCTTACCTCTTCCCATCCTTCTGAGGGTCTGCACCTTGCTTGCCCTTGGGGGGGTCCCAGGTCAGACTCAAGCAAGAAAAGCTTCAGAGTGCTAGAACCCAGTTTTCAATCCTTGATCCTCCCAGTCAGCCCTGGTGGGTTGGGGGTTGGGCATTAGAAACAGTTGAGTGAGATGTCTCCTGCTTTACTGGGTCCTGTGTCTTTCTAGGAGATCCCCAGACGTAACCCAAAAGGGTTAGAAAGGGTAAACCCACTTATCCTCCGGGAGGCCATTTACTTCTGGAACCTTGAAAACAATGATTCCTCCTTGAGGGCTCAAGTGGGCTGAGGGTGTATGAAGGGCTTTGTCCAGTTACCCTTTCCACCATAGGTTCGAGAAGATGATTGGGGGCTTGTACTTGGGTGAACTGGTTCGGCTGGTGCTGGTCCACTTGGCCCAGCATGGGGTCCTCTTTGGCGGCTGCACCTCTGATGCCTTGCTAAGTCAAGACAGCATCCTCCTGGAACACGTGGCCCACATGGAGGAGTAAGTAAGGCAGGCAGACAAGGGACAAGGGGAATCTGCTTGGAAGAGGGTAATGTACTCTCTCCCCAAGGTAGCTGTGGGCCTTTGGTGGGATGGGCAGCTACTAGGTGCCTAAGGCCCAAATCAGCACCCCATGTGTCTTTGCCATCCTCCCTACAGCCCCGCCAATGGGACAGCCTGTGTCCACGAAATCCTGCAGGGCTTGGGGCTGAGCCCTCAGGCCTCGGATGCTGAACTTGTGAAGCGTGTGTGTGAGTCTGTGTGCACACGGGCTGCCCAGCTCTGCGCGGCTGCTCTGGCTGCAGTCCTAGCCCGCCTCCAGCACAGCAGGGAGCAGCAGACACTGCGTGTGGCTGTGGCCACTGGAGGGCGAGTGTTTGAAAGACACCCCAGGTATTGAGAGAACAAGATCTCATGTGAGCAGATAGAGTGAATGGTTTTGTCTGTTTGTTTGTTTGTTTGTTTGTTTTATGATATACACCCCAAGGGCATTCTGGTTTCATGTGTGCAAGCTGGCGGATATGAACGGCAGAGTGAGAGTTGGACTGGGCTGTGGGAGGCCAGGAGGCATGTAGGGAGAGAAAAATGTTTATTTTTGTGTATGCCAGGGAAAGAGGGCAGTGGATGTATGATTGGTGCCAGGGAACAGGTTCAGGACTGAATTTATTTAAAATGATAAGATCTAGGGCTCCAGACAGGCCATAGGTTCAGACGCCATGCTGAGTGTACCTGGTGTGTTTATGTAGGTTCCTCTGCACTCTAAAGGAGATGGTAATGCTCTTGGTCCCAGAATGTGACGTCTCTTTCATCCCCTCTGTGGATGGTGGTGGCCGGGGTGTGGCAATGGTGACAGCTGTGGCTGCCCGCCTGGCTGCCCACAGGCGCATCCTGGAGGAGACGCTGGCACCCTTTCAGCTGAACTCCCAGCAGTTGACAGCGGTGCAGGCACAGATGCGGGAAGCCATGATCAGGGGCCTTCGGGGAGAGGCCTCTTCCCTCCGAATGCTGCCCACTTACGTGCGAGCCACCCCCGATGGCAGTGGTGAGCACCTGGCCAGAGTGTGGGCCTGGGATGTGGGCTCCTGGGAGTCACAGTGTGTGCTAGGGCTGGAGCCACCATTTCTCTCCTAGTACTGAGGGTTTCTGTCCCACAGAGCGAGGTGATTTCCTGGCCTTGGACCTAGGGGGCACCAACTTCCGGGTCCTATTGGTACGTGTGGCCGAGGGCAGTGTGCAGATCATCAACCAGGTCTACTCTATCCCCGAGTGTGTAGCCCAGGGCTCTGGACAGCAGGTACTTAGAGTTTAGGTCCTGACGTCAGGGGTAGAGAAGGAGGGAGAGAGTCCACCCCTGACATGCCCTATCCTGCAGCTCTTTGATCATATTGTGGACTGCATCGTGGACTTCCAGCAGAGGCAGGGCCTGAGTGGACAGAGCCTACCCCTGGGATTCACCTTCTCTTTTCCATGCAAGCAGCTTGGTCTGGACCAGGTAAGGGAGTTAAGTCCAAGAAGTGATTCCAACCATGCCTCTGGTGTCATCCATGTCTCTGATGTCAACCATGCCTCTGGTGTCAACCATGCCTCTGGTGTCAACCATGTCTCTGGTGTCAACCATGCCTCTGGTGTCAACCATGTCTCTGGTGTCAACCATACCAATGGTGTCAACCATGCCCCTGGTGTCAGCCATGTCTCTAGTGTCAGCCATGTCTCTGGTGTCAACCATGTCTCTGGTGTTCTGCCTTCAGGAAGCAGCATTTTGTTCTTTTCTCCAGAAGAGACTTGAGGCCACATGTTTCTTTGCTTGTTTACTTCTCAGCTGGACACAGTGCTGTGCCTAATCTAGGCGGCAGAGTGACAGCCATAGGTCAAACACACTGATGACACATCATATCCTTCATCATGTGTAGGTGACTTCTCAATGCATGCCTCTGACGTCTGGCATGGGAACAGCTAGTCTTAGACCTCTTGTCTAAGCTCCCAGGAAACTGAGCACCTCCAGTTCCTGTTTGGAAGCTTTTCATGCTGAGGAGCCTGCTGCCCCTGAGGGCCTCTGCTATATCCTTAGTTGTCTTATGGCCACCACGATCTTATCTACCCAGCAGCCTGCATGCATTATTTTCACCCTGTGCTCCTGTTCTGACGTCTATGAAGTACAGCTGTTTTCTCTGCTGTCTTTTACACCATGGTCTTACACCATGGTCTGGATGGTGCCACTGCCTAGTGTCTCTCCTCTAGTCTGGCTCCAGGCCAAGCATGCTCACTTCCTTTAGCTGTTCTCCACAAGATATGGGAAGTGTGTCTCAGTGTACAAATCTGAGCATGCAAAGAATGTGGCATAATTAATTTTTTTGTAACTGAATGTAGCTTGTGTGTTGAGCCCATGTTGTTCTGGGGATATAGTTCAGTAGTTGGACACTTGTATGTGGGAGGTCCTGCACAGTACCACTTTCCTTTGATAGCTGTGGTTAATTCCTACCCTTTCCCTCAGAAATACATAGCAGCACAGCCTTTTTCCAGGTACAGTTCTGCCCCTTGTTACTAAGTCCCGTTGCTCACAAGAAAGACATGTCTGTCTCATGCTGCCCCCCTGCCCCTCCCCCAGGTGTCTGGCTTTTCAACTCATCCTTTGCCTCTATCTGGGACAACTGATGGATCTCCCACTGAAATGGCTGTGCCTAACTCTGAGAATTACTTCCTTTGAAATGGCTCTTGGAATTTTTCTTCGGAAGGATGGGATTTGCTGACATTTGCGCCCCTAAAGTTCCTCTATTCTCCTTTCTCCTCCATGCAGCAGTCACTCTGCTAGCTGTTCATTCCTCGCCCAATTCCAAAGGGCCATTCCTTCTGGGCAAGCTTCTTAAAACGGCCAGACCTCAGACCACCTGAGCATTCTGGAACTAATAATGGAAGACATAGGGCGAATCGTTATTAATAGGTTTCTTCACACGGAAAGTTTCCTAGGGAGTTGAGAGATGTGAGAAAGCAAGGCCTTCAACCACAGGGCAAAGTGGGCAAGGAATCCTGCATGGCAAGGGCGGAGACTGTGTACTTCTGGTGGTTTGTGAGGCAGAGTAACCTTCGTGTCTGCTTGATCCCATCTCAGGGCATCCTCCTGAACTGGACTAAGGGGTTCAATGCATCAGGCTGCGAGGGCCAAGACGTGGTATATCTATTACGGGAAGCCATTAGGCGCAGACAGGTAGGAGCCTACCTCCAGGGGTGCTTTTGGGATTGTGACAGGCCTGGAGGGGAGCAAAGTATCATTTGCTTCCTTGAGGGGAGTAAAGGGGCCCTCTACAATAGAGACCTCTGAGTCCAGTGCTGGTTGCCATGACAACTATGTTGCCCAGCAACTAGCAGCATCCTTTTGTATGCAGGCAGTGGAGCTGAATGTGGTTGCCATTGTCAATGACACGGTGGGGACCATGATGTCCTGTGGCTATGATGATCCCCGTTGTGAGATGGGCCTCATTGTCGGTAAGGAGGGCTCTGCCCTTGGTGCCTCTGGTGCCTGATAATTCATTGCCTTCTGTTGATCCCTTAGGTTGGACATTCCTCTGACCTTGGGGATATGGGCTTATTTCTGTATGACCCAACAGAGTTCTGGGCCCTTGTACTGAGCTAGGAGTCTGGAACTAGGGCATTTCATCCAAGTTAGCTACTGATTCAGTCACTGACTCTTTCTGAGCCTCAGTTTGCCCATTTGGTAAATGAATCTCTACTAGACTGGCTTTGCTGCACCCACCTATATGACCTTGGGTAACTCATTAGTCTCCATTTCTTCATCTTAAGGTATAATGGCACGAGGTTAAGAGAATGGAATGAGAAGGGGCTGGGCATGGTACAGTGCCTGGCTCATGGTACATGCTCAGTGTTTGGCACTGGAGAGGGGATGGCAGGTCGGTGACTTGTGAGGGTTCTAAGATATCAGTGAGCTCTTACCCTGGGGCTATCTGGCACCTGCACAAAAGGGCCGGAAGACACACAAAGGATGAGGAATTCTATCTTCTCAGAATGGAGCATCAAGAAGGGATTAAGCCCAGAACAGCCTGTGGCACTTACAGCTGACTCTGACTCCACCCCCAGGGGCAGACAGGCTAAGATCAGAGAGGGGTCAGTCCTAGAACAAGTGGGAGATGAGACGGGGCTCCAAAGGAGGGTGGAAGGCAGGGGAGGAAGGCTCTCAAGCTCCCTAAGCACGAGTCTCTTAGTAGATGGTGGCCTCTCATGGGTAGGTAGGTGCTTAGGAGAGGCACAAACTATTAGAGAAATCCCGGGTGGAACATCAAGGGGCCCACTGCTCAGAGTTGGAAACCTGTAGAGCAGAGGTTCTCACCTTCCCGATGCTGCGACCCTTTAACACAGCTCCTCATGCTGTGACCCCCAACCATAAAATTTTCATTGCTACTTCATAACTGTAATTTTGCTAGTTATGAATCATAATGTAAATGTAAAAAATGTGTTTTCTGATGGTCTTAGGTGGCCCTGTGAAAGGGTTGCTTGACCCCCAAAGGGGTCTGGATCCACAGGTTGAGAAACTCTGGTGTAGAGACAGAGAGAATGCCTTTCCCTCTGTTTCTCAAATATTACCTCCTCTGTGTAGCCTTTGAGTCTTGTAGGCAAAAGCAGCCCAGCGTGTGTCCCAGAGCCCCCACAATGCTCTTCTTTCTATTAGGACCTGTAGAGGCACTGTCAGAGAATGCCATTCACTGCCTCACTTCTGGCCAGACGGCAGGGGTCCTTGTGCCAGTGGGCCGTGTCCCCAGCCCTGGCCCACTCCAGCTGGTTTGACTTCAGCCCCTCACAGGCATTAGAGTGGAGCCACACATCTCCCCTGGGAGTGACCCGGTTGATGGCGCTCAGGGCACTTTGGGACAGCATGGGAGATGCTCTGATGTTGGTACTGGTGGGGAGCACAGGAAGTTCTGAGGCTTTGGTACCGACAAGGTCTACATCAGGAATGTCAGAAAGGGAGGCCAGGACCAGGGAGGTAGAGAAGTATGGAGCCTACATTTTGATGTTTGGTATGTGTTTAGGAGAGGTTTAAGCAGGGGAGGAAGGCTCTCAAGCCCCCTGAGCATGACCCATCAATAAACAGCTCCCACCCCCTGACCCTGGCCTGTCTACAGGAACCGGCACTAATGCCTGCTATATGGAGGAGCTCCGGAATGTGGCAAGCGTAGCTGGGAACTCAGGCCACATGTGCATCAATATGGAGTGGGGTGCCTTTGGGGACGATGGCTCGCTGGGCATGCTCAGCACCTGCTTTGATGCTAGTGTGGACCAGGCATCCATCAATCCAGGCAAACAGAGGTATGGCTGAGGCCCAGGCAGTGGCGGTGAGCACTGGCCTGCACTGGTGAACACAGTTGATGGGCCGCTACTTCATGCGGGTATGCGTGCACCCTCATACAGGTTTGAGAAGATGATCAGCGGCATGTACCTGGGGGAGATTGTCCGCCACATCCTCCTTCATTTAACCAGTCTTGGAGTTCTCTTCCGGGGCCAGAAGACTGAATGCCTTCAGACCAGGGACATCTTCAAGACCAAGTTTCTCTCAGAGATTGAAAGGTACCTGCATTGCAAGGCAGTCTGTCACTGTGGGGGAATGAATGCTGGGTGCTGCTGGTAGTGGAGGGAAGCACCCAAGGATTAAGTGGGGGGAAACCCAGAGAGAGGGAGCTAATGCAAGGGTGTTCTATTCCTTCCTGGCTTCAGTGACAGTCTGGCCCTGCGTCAGGTCCGAGCCATCCTGGAAGATCTGGGGTTGACTCTGACCTCTGATGATGCCCTGATGGTCCTAGAAGTGTGCCAGGCTGTGTCTCGGAGGGCCGCCCAACTCTGTGGGGCAGGTGTGGCTGCTGTAGTGGAAAAGATGCGTGAGAACCGGGGCCTGCAGGAGCTGACAGTGTCCGTGGGAGTAGATGGGACACTCTACAAATTACACCCTCAGTGAGTCTGGGTAGGTGGGTCAGGCAGGGAGGCATGGCCAGGTGGGCTGGGCTAGCCTGGGCTGACCTCAGCCCTTTCTCCTCACAGCTTCTCCAGGCTGGTGTCGGCTACAGTTCGGAAGCTAGCCCCTCACTGCATGGTCACCTTTTTGCAATCAGAGGATGGGTCTGGCAAAGGTGCAGCTTTGGTCACTGCTGTCGCCTGTCGCCTTGCCCAGATGTCCCGTGTCTGAGGGAATCTCCAAGAACGATGAGATCTCACTGGACTAAGGCCTCAGCCTAGTCTGAGCCCCCGGCAGGTCCAGCCACCCAGGATTCCCAAAGCAAGCCACGTGTGACCCCCTTATAACCACCTGTCCAGGCCTAATGGCTTTCAGAGAGAAGTAACACTTGGGTTAGCAATATATATATATAATTTATTTACATTCACGTCCGCTAAAATCCCTACGTGCCCCGGCAGCCGGGCAAGGCTGTGTACATAAGGCCAAGTGTAAGTGCGTGAATGCACTTAAGACAGAGTCAGGACACAAGCTTCACACAACAGGCCCCACACAGGGGCACCGGCCAGCCCCAGGAACGGGCACGCCACGGCACGCACACCGCACACTTGCCATTGTACAGCCCGGGACTCCCATTGCATATTCACACGCCCCGCTGGGCAGGGCACCTCGAGGCTGGGGGCGGGGAAAGGGTCAGGGAGGGGCCTTCAGGTGTCCCTGGGTGGGTGGGAGAAGGGCAGCATGTGAGAGGCAGATGTGTACCGACACCGGGCGTGAGAGACGTGAGCAGCCTCCAGGTGCACAGCATGAGATGTGTGTAGTGGGGGAGGGTCCTGCATGACCTGGAGAGGGGCGTGTGTGAGATGAGCACACGAGGCATGCGTGAACACATGCCTGTGTGGTGATCGTGTGCCTGAATCCAAGGGCCAGCCCCTGTCCAGCTGGGGCCCTTAGTCCCCCAGGCTTGAAGCCAGGCCCCTCAAATATACCCCTACCCAGCAGGCACAGAAATGTTTGCATAAGGCCCACCTCAGGCAGGAGCTCTGGGGGCCATGTCCCGAGCCCAGCATGTGTGCGCATGCTGTGTGTATGCGGGGCCCCTGGCAAGGGACAGGAGGAGAGGTAGCATCACACGCATATACACACACACACAGATGGGCTGGGCTCAGCCCAGGCTCCAGGCACTGTCCACTCTGGGCCCTGAGACCAGGGCAGAGTGAGAGCAGGTGGCTATACCAACCTGGCCAGGCAGGCCATGGAGGGATGGAATTTGGGCAGGGTCTGAAGGACCAGCGTTAAGGGACAACTTCAGCCAGGAGGGGGCCTGTCCAAGCAGCTCTCCCCGGGTGTGGGGGTAGGGCCCCTGTCTGGCTTTTGCCTGTCCCTGGCAGGTGCCAAAGCTGGTGAGAGTGTAGGCATTACCGGCCTGGCTAGTCTCAGCACTCGGCCTCTGACACTGTGAAGAGGCCAGCATCTGGCTGGCCCAGTCCAGCCACGGCTGCTGCCAGCTGGCCGAGGTTGCCGTTGGGGAAGTGCCGTGCCTCCCAAAGGTTGAGGATCATGGCTGTGGGGCTGGGCTTGGAGGCAAGGAAGCTGAGATGGCTGCAAAGAAGAGGCAGTCTGGGTCAGTGCTCTGGCCTCGCTCCAGGCTGCCCTGTCAGGTCCCCAGTCTAACCAAGGGTAGGCATCCCCTCCAATACACCAACTACCCTGGCCACTAGTGGCTGTGGCACAGACCCTGTAAGCCTCCTGTCTACCCCATTTACCCCACCAGTCTCCCCTCTGCCTATCTCCACCCACCTGTCCAGGTGAAGTTTCTGGGCTAGAGTCCGCCAGTCGGCACCCCGGCTGCAGGGTGGGTCCAGGCTGGTAATGATCTTTTGCCGAATGAGGAAGGGGATCTTGAAGGCACTGGGGCCCACCAGGGCTGGGACCCCCCCTTCACTCTCCAGAGCCAGCAGTTCAGCAAACTTCGTGTCCTGGGTTGTGGGAGGTATGCAACAGGAGCCAGTTAGAACTCAGCCCACTGCTGCCAGGGCTGCGGGAGTTCCCAGACCACCCCAGACAACAGGGAGAGCAGGGGCACTGGGCATCCTCTCTGTTACGCTCCGGGGCCCAACTCTTTGGGTCTCAGAGACGTAGCCACCTGGCTAGAGTCACAGTCAGTGTTAGTCACACACACACACACACACACACACACACACACACACACACACACACAGCTCTGCTGGCCGTGCACACTCATTGCTCTTATCTCCTCACATGCTTCCACTCAGGTCCTGCTGCCATCCTGCTCTTACTTACCCTTTAGGGCCCAAGCGAAGTCCCTCTTTGGGGAAGCCCCCCAGGGCCTCTGGCCGACTCTGCCTTCTCCTCCTCCTCCTCCTCCTCCTCCTCCTCCTCCTCCTCCTCAGCCTGTTTGACTCCCCTCCCCAGATCTCATTTGCACCTCTGTCCCCAGCAACTTGGAAGAAGCTAGAAGGAGCCGAGTGGGTAGGGCTGGTGGCGGGTTGTCAGCTAGGCCCAGAGATGGGGTGTTTCTGGGGCGGTTGGAGGTGGGAGCACCTCACTCTCCTGCCCACCTTAGTGATGTTAAAGTTGATGCTGAAGCTCTGCCCATCGCCTTCCACCTGCCACACCCACACCTTGCAGGCCAGGTCAGTGGTGCTGGCATTGATGCGCTCCAAGGTGAAGGTGCAGTGCAGATGCTGCTGGCTGCCATTCCAGATGTGATAAAAAGGGATCTCCTGCGGAGAGGGACAGAGAGGTGGCATCCAGCGTGCCCGGCACCAGACTGTGGCGCTCTGGCCATGGCGTGGGCCTCACCTGGTAGCTGACCAGGAGTTTGCTCTTCCACAGGGAGCTGGGCACATCGTGGATGGACAGGCGTAGGTTGTGGTAACTGTCTTTGAAGTGCAGGACACGAGGCTCCTGGATCAGCTGTCCACCCAGCTGCTTCTCCAGCTGCACCACCTCCTGTGGTGCCCGGATGGTCAGCAAGGCCCAAGGGTGGGAGTAACCCTCCCTGCTGCCCCCAAGACAAGGGTGGTCAGCCCACGGGGCTGTGTGGGGAAGTACCTTGAGTGCATCGTGGGTGTCATGCAGGCAGTACACACGGATGTTGTACTCGAGGGAAGTGCAGGCCACGGGAGCGAACAGCAGGAGCTTGAGACGCTTGGTGGCAGCCACACTGAGGGCCTCTCCCACCAGGGCAAAGCGGCCTAGCTGCTCAGTGAAGACATGGCAGGCGCTGGCCTCCAGCTGGCAGTAGTAGAGGTGGGATGGCGACTCCTCCCCGAGGTGTAGCACATCCTGTGGGCGGGGCCTGGTGGGTCAGTTCCTAACCAGCTGGGAGTCCTCAAAGCCACCAGGCCACCCTCAGCCCTCAGAAGTGGCCAAAGCTAGGGAGACTCAGGACCACACAGCCGCTGAAGGCCACGCAGCCAGGGTCGGGTGGGGTAGCCTCAGACTCCGTTCCCTGCTTACCTCCCAGCTGCCCTCGCAGGACTGCTTTTTGAGGTGCAGGCTCCAGCTGTCAGGACTGGGTTCCCCGCAGTGGTCCATGACCAGGATGACCGGCCGGGTGAGCAGGACTCCTGGAGGCCCACAGCTAACGATGGGACTCAGCAGGGTCTGAGAGCCAGCTAGGGGCAACCTCAAGTGGGGAAATACGGGTGGGGAGGGAAAGGTGTCAGTGGCCGGTCCTAGACTGTGGGGTTTGGGACCCTAGGGGCAGGAGCTGCAAAGCAGGGTGAGCTTAAGTGTGCCTCATCCCTGTCCTCCCTCAGGCCAGGTCAGAACAGGTACAGCAGTGCTGGATACCTGTGCAGGGTGTGTGTGTGTGTGTGTGTGTGTGTGTGTGTGTGCCAGTGATTCAGGGCAGCAGGTGGGTGCCCTCCCAACCCCCTACCACAGCGAGGCCCAGGCCCACACCTCACGTCTTCTGGCTTGTGCAGTGTGAGGTAGATCTCGTAGATCTTTCCTCGGGGGATGGCATCTGGGGGAATGAGGAGGCTGATTCCTGTAAGAGCAAAGGGTCGGGCTTATTGCTACAGATACCAATTACCCCGTGAACTAGCCAGACCCATGACTTTCCCCTGTAGCCAGCCTCATCTGGGGACAGGGGTGCTTCAAGGACCGCCATACTGTCCCACCACCCACTACCCACATAGGCACGACTCTGAGTCAGAGAGACTCGAAGAATGTCTGAGGTAAAATAGCTTGGAAAACGTATAACTAGGCCAGAAGAGGCCACGTACACTGTTTCTACTTCCCCTGTTAGCCAAATGGCATTATTTGGGACCAGGGCATTTTCTGCTTCAAACCTTTCCCATCTTCCAGGCCGCCATGCAAGGCCCTTCCCTATCATCCCAGCAGTACTCTGCCCCGCCTTTTCTACACTCAGTGGTTCCCCTACAGGGGTCCTTCCTCCTCTAGTATCCTGTCCCCTCTAAGGACTGGTCGCGCCAGCCACTGTCTCCATCCTTGCAGGTGGTGACAGTCTGTAACAGCCCTCCATGGCCAGCATCGATGGCCCAGAGGTCCTCCCACTCCACGATGTGTCCTGCCCCAGAAGCTTTCAGCAGCAATGCCAGTGTGGGGCGGGGGGAGGGGAGTTTTGGGTGGATCCAGCAAGGACAGAGCTGAGGAATTAGGGAGCAGAGTGAGGCCCTGCTCCGAGGACAGGAAGCCCCGCACGAGGAACCTCTCAGCTCATACAGGAAAAGGGGAGACATTCTGTGACTTCATCCTTAAAGCAGACAGATGTAGCTCCAGGGTCAAGTGCTATCTAAGGACATTAGAGTCTGCAAAGATACAGTGGCGGCCCCATAGGGTTATGCGGCCTACTGACATTGGAGTTGTGGTTTGTGAGTGCACTCCGGGATGTTCGCCTATCTGTGTCCATCAAGAGTGGTCTGTGACAGTGTCACAGAGCTGACACCCAGGAGAGGGACTCTGTTGACCAGGTGCTTCCCTCACTAGCCTGTGCTGCTTCCAGGGCCTGGTGCTGCTAGTGTTGGTGCCGATCACGTACAGCCTGGTGTGAATTCATACAGTGTGAATGCTGGCTGTGGGGAGGCGCACACACACTCGCATGCTAGGCACCCAGAAAACTGAGGGGGAAAAAGTGCTAGCTCTCAGTCCAGCAAGGAGAGAGCCAAGTAAATATCAGTAAGGCACACAGGGGCAATGGGCAGCTTCCCACACTGCCGGGGCCATCGAGTACCCACCATCCATCTGCCTTTCTGCTGGAGCTGACAGGTACTGTCTCACCTCGAT